TGTCCACCTCTGTCACGAACTACTGACAGGTCCACGTAATTCCGTGTATCGTTTGCGAACGTTGCGCAAACACTCGAGTCAAAAGCGTCAAAATCGCTCGAATCCCTCGATTCATCACGCCTGACCACGTGTGAGAAAGGCGTAGGCTCCCTAGATGTTTCTTAAGCGCCGATGTTCGTGCATACCCACGCAGCCCACGTTGGAACATTTTAGATTAGTGCCCACAGATAACGCGTATACGCGCTCAGGAGCGTACGTCACGACCGAGAAATTGGCCGGGATTTGGACGTCCTTTCATTCTTTCATTTTTGATAATTTAAACATTATCAAAAGAGCGCCAAAAGGAAAATATTATTGGGATATACAGAACAATATTTATATTTGTATTTTGTGAGACTTAATTTACATTTTTTAATTCTTCTTCAACTTTTTGACTAATTATTCAACTAATTATTAATTTTAGCTTAAATTTTCTTAAAATTTTTAGGATTCTCCGGAACATTTACATTAGTCTTAAGGTTAAGCGATTACTTATGTGTATTCATAATTTGTTAAGGGAATAATTTTGTTTAGGAATTTTAATCACATTGTGAAGTTTCTTGTAAGAATTATTAATTGGTCGTCAAATTAAATAGGAAAGGAAAATTCCATTCTTCTTTGATATTTTTAGAAAAAGAAAACAAATTTTTAAATACAATTAATGTATAATAATATAATTACTATATATTCTAAGGATAACAAAGAAGTCTGATGTCGATAAATATAAATAAATAAATATAGAATATTACATACAGAAATTAATTCTCTGCCTTCACATTCAATTAATTATAACTCAAGTTTAATAAGAAATATTCACCTACCATTTGTTCAATACATTATATTATTATATATGTTTCTTGAATTGTGTGGCTCGGGAGATATGAAAATACGCATAAAAAATCTAAAAAGAGCACATAATTAATTTTTACACTGAATATATAATTTACTAAAAATAAAAAACGTACAATTTTTACCAACCTAATAATAATTATACCCCTTGAATAATTCCAAATTGCGGAGGACCAAGTTCGTATTGAAATCAGTTGTACTCGCCTCAGCGATTTTTAATGTCGAGGCTGATGATTTCGGTCAGATAACGACGTAAGAACTAAGATTACTATTATCGAGAAGATTAGTGGAATTGATATTGGACCAAGTCGTTTCGATTAATGTTTTTCGAATAATTCGAGACAATCTTGATGACAGATGTCATTTTTTATTGTTCCGTGGGTGAAACGTTTTGTCAAATCGTTATATCGGATCTAGATCTGTGAATTTTAATGAACTATTCGTAATACTAGCTGCTCTTATTTATAGCAGAATTGAGTACTAAATTGCAATCATGTATTACCGCATAGTCACACGTTGAAATAGTTGCTCACACGGTATACATATACAATCAGCTAAATGTATTTGATTAACCCTGAACTGGTGGGGTGAAAAGTTATTTACATAACTGGTAGGATAAGCTCAATTGGATTTCGATCAAAACTGTAGGCGGAATGTGGACTTTACCTACCCTAATATGACTGTACATAAGTTAAAACTCAATTAACTTGCGAAGCTATAAATTGCAGAACCAAAATAAAAGGAGAACGTTAATAATACATAAGTATCAAGAGGAATGTTTTCTTCTTGGCTAGCTAGAACAATAGAATACATTCATCCAGTTCAACGTTTAGGTTACTTTAGATGGCGTAATTGTGATCTTCGATGGGAATACAAGAATCCTTAACAATAAATCAGTTTGAACCAGCACATTCGTACTCTTTGACTTTTAGATTAGACGTGTGGTTCAAGTTCACTTTTGATGGTTTCACATTATTATTACTATTATTTTGATTTTGAGATAAAATTTGGCAAAGTTACTGCGTACGTTCTTTCCAATGGTTATTCACATATGGACAATATTTGATTTAAATAATTAAAATTTTGATTCATCACGTATAAATCACAAACTATCGAATTTAATAATGGTTCTACAAAGAATGTACTTACCGATGGTTTGATATCGTTAACTTTGAACTAATATTTATTGATACCGAGAACCTTTTCTCATATAGAAAAATTAAGACTAATAACTGTTAAATTATTTACCTACTAAAGAACAAAAGGAAATAGTACACGATAGAATAAAATTATTACTTTGAGAATGCAATTATATTTTCCGAATTCAAAGTCGTGATTTAGTTTGAATAATATGTTCAGATATGGAATGTTAGTATTTGTTAACAATAAGGCGTGCTCATTTGAAATGTATTTCATTACAAATCGTTGGACTATCAAAATCAACGATACTCGTGCTCACTTTCATTAACAAGCATTAGAAATGCATGGGATGAACCGGAAGAATGATAAAACGAGTCATCAACGAGAGGAAAAGGAATTTGTTTGACGAAGAATAGATGAATAATTAGGAAGCGAGAGTGTTATCTTGCATCCCGTTTCGATTGATATGATTTAAATTCAAATGAGCAAATCATACGTAAATCATAGATGAGGTCATATATCATTGAAGTGTCCTTAAAAAGAAAAAAGAATAATTTCCATCAGTTTTGACAAAACTGCTTGCTAAAACAATTGTCATAAATGGGAAATAAATTTACCATTGAATTCACACTTTATTCTCAAAATCAAATTTTATATCACATGTAAGTGTTTAAAATAAAATTTATGTTTATGGTTCCTCCCAAACTATGGTAACAAACATGATATAGGAAAAATAATAGTTTCAGCAGGGAATTTCCTATTTTTATCCTTTTATTGTTATTGAAACGGAGATTCTCGAATTTGAACTGAAACGATGTTGATATTTACGTGTAAAAGATTACATAATGTTATAAATTCCTTAAGGTGTCAAAAGACACCTCGTGTTTTATGTATGTATAATCTCATTTTTATAATATCGACAAAAGCAATTATATCTGAAGTGCGTGACTTTATGAGAAATCAGTGAAGTAATATGTAGTCTTTCGATTCGAAAAGGTTCCTCATCCCTATTCTAAACGCTGTTCTTCGAGCACGTCATTGCGAAAGATTGATTCCGAATTGAAAGGAGTATTCTGCGATTAAAAAAGAGTTATGCTTCGTACAATACACGAAATGGATTATATTTCAGACCGCGAAACAAACTTGATTCAGCGCGGTTCTAAGCTTTCAACGAGCCTATTGCTCGCGCCTGACTTCTAAAAGAAGACGGAATAAACGTAAGAAGAAGCAGAGGGGAACAGGTTCTAGATTCATTCACATCTCGCCGAGGCCTTGAGCCCGACAAAAAGCATTCTATGCAGTTCCTACCATAAACTCATCCTGTATTCCACCGGTACCCTCGAGCTACGAACTCCTGTCGTAAACGTCGAACGAGACAAACTAATAAATGTTGCAACGAAAAACTCGCACCTCTCGTTTCGCTTCTCCTCGATCGCGCATCATGCAATTCCTCGGAATTATGTAAATTCGACGGTGAAACCATTCTCTCCGACATCGATCAGGATCGAAAAACATAATCGTCGATAATAGAGCTTTGTACAACAGATAGAACAAATTTATAAGTACATTAATTAATAGTAGAACCTGTCAATAAAGAGTTTTCCAGAAAGAGCTTTAGAATTTCGTTTTTCAATTAATACGATGGGCATTTGAATGGCATCATATTTCATGTTAAATTGTAATCATTTGTATTGTCATAATCATTCCAATTTTATTTTTAAAGATCAAGTTTATATTAAAGTTTTTATTTATAGAATCTCCTTACAAACTAAACACTATTTTCTTTTTAAAGATTTTTGTTTGTATTCTTTAATGGTAAATACAAGTAATATTTTCACATATATTACTATGGCAAATTTCATCTGGATCGGATAAAAATAGCAGGAATATGTAATCTACTCCGATTTCCTCTTCTGCAAATTACACAGCGAAACTTAACTCTAAATTCTATAGATTTGAAGTATTTGTTAAATTCAATATTTTGTGATTTAAATATGATGAAGCATATTTTTTCCAATAAATCCTTAACAGAATTTAACGAAATATTTGTTTTGTAAACAGTGTTTTATGAATGATATAATATTGACTAAATTGCAATTTGTTCATAGTTGATTTCATTAGAACTCATACATGCAGTTTCATTTATATCAAAGGTGGACAAAACTTTCGAGTGAATAACAAATTTTAGATTTCTTAGAATAAAATGAAAGATATTTATAAATAACTTTGATCTAGCAGCGTGTATTCGATACTGTTTGCAACACTCTATCACATAATGTACTCAATTGAGACCAGAATAGAAAAAAATCTGCATAATAGAATTTTACCGAAGAAATGTTGCAGAATATGCACATAATGTACTTATATATATACACATATATATTATCTTGTATATCTTATATAAGAATACATAATATATATAATAATATATATAAGAATGTTCTTATATATATATCTTATAAATAAAATGTAAGGGTTATAGGGAAAAGAGGTTACGTATACGATTTTATTTTTTCATAACCAAATACGCCTACTATCTTTCACATTATTCTTCTAAAAATGACTGTAAAGTGTAAGGATCGAATGAATTCCTTACCACTTGCATTATATTAAAAAGAAACTTTAATACCCCTGTTAACATGTTAACCGTCAGATTAATACTCTTAAAAATTCCTACTTAGGTTAAATTTTGTTTATAGACTGCTGGGTACTATATAATCAAACATTTATCATGGTATTCATTTTTGTAATGTCATTGAAATTCAAGTATTGCATTCAGGTTCATTTTTTCCGACACTTAACTTTCAGAAATAATATTTTTAGTTCTTCGGTGAAAAGCGCTGAAGAACGTGGCGATCAACGTGATAAAAAATCGTTTGCATTCGCTTTGGAAGTTCGAAGCGAAGTATGCGAATAAAAGTGAAGCGGGTACGGCAGAAAACGAAAGAAAAAATACAAGCGGATAGGAAGAAAATACCAAAGATCGGTAAAGGCTGAAGGTTCGCTTACGAAGAGGCAAAAATGGGAAATGCTTTGCGAAGGGCGCGAATGATTTACACCACTCTGGTTCCCATCGAGTGAAATGCTATTCGCGAATACCTGCTGCCTACGGGGCCCTCGATAACCCCCTCCCCGGAACCCACGTGCATCGGCGCGTAGGCAGGAACGGCAGAGTTCCTCGTCGCCGCGACGCCGCTCGCCAGTTTCGACGGAGTCGTGCCGGCGTGTGTTTCTGTGGTTCGTTCGTTTGCCGTTTGATAGGAAACGCGCGAATCGGTGTCAAATTATTTTTCTAACAGTGTAGTTAAATTGGAAAAAGTTTTTGTTTTATTTTATTTTATTTTATTTTTCGTTTCTTGTGAAGTTCGCGTGGTGCGTTTTGCGAAGAAATCATCCGTTTAGCATGCATTGATTCGAGGAGTATCTTATAGTGAGAGGTGAGTGTTCCTTCATCGTTATCATCCTGTCTTCCAGGTTAACCCTCTGCGGTACTCTGCACTCGATTGGCGGCTCCAAATCGCCACTGGATTTTGCAATCTTTATGTTAGATTTGATAGCAATATCGATTCATGAATAGGTTTCTGAGATTTGTGTATACTTTTCCGGAAGTTTGAATAACGCGCGTTGAAATTTCGAAATTTGTTATTTTAAATTTAGTCGTTACCGGGATCCTGACGTCTTCATAATTCAGATTCGATTTAAGTCTTTCATTGTTTTGAAAACCTTGAGAATCTATAAAAATGGGCTTCTGTAGTGAAATCAATTCGAGTAAAGATAAATTTGATTTTATAACTTTACAGGACGAAGTCACTCATACGAAAATACAGATTTTAATAATAAAATTGGTGGGCTATGAAAATACACGAAATATTCAAATATAATACTTTCGTACGTTAATTTCCGTTTATTAAAATCTGTCACGAAACAAATTTTTTACCTGTAATCCACAGTCGCAAATATATGTCACTTTTAAAAATTGTGTATTCTGCTTATTTGGAGTGTTATAAATGAAAGCATGCCAATTGGAGCCATGTTATAACAAAAACCATTCTTATCTGTGATACACGAAAATGACGAGCGCTAAGGGTTAACTTCAGACATGTTGCATTTCTTTTAGAAGCTAGAACTTTTCTGTGGATTGGTAGATTACTTTGTTAATTTAACATCGATATTGATATTAGGAAAAGTTAATCTAAGTACCATTTGATGATTGTATTGAATGCAGTATAACTTTACGAAGTTTTATAATATTCTTCAATAAATAATTTAACCAGTGTAATTTAAGTGAAATGAATTCATATTTCACTCGAATATATCTCGAATCTTATGATCTTTTAAATAATCATTAGTGTAGGACTTAGGCAACAGTGTCGGTGATTTAGGAGAACTTAATTCAGGATTCATTTTATAATCACGTTGCGTTTAGAATCTACAACTTTATTCATTAAAAAAAAAAAAAAATATTTAATAGAAGTCGATCGTAATATATGCGAATCTCCGTCGGTTCCTCGTCTACTAAATCCTAATCTTTTAAAGGCCAATGTCAAGTATGGAGATCACCACTAGAATTTTAAATAAATATTCATGATTAAATTTTCCAAAGATTACCTCGTATTTGGCAGCAAGTGTCATTCCGAGATTCATTCACGTCATCAATTTGAATTTTTTGTACTTTTCGAATGAAATATGATTCATGTCTGCAGAGGGTAAACGTCAATTTAACTGTTACTTTGACGATTTCAAGCTAATTTAGGCTCGTTTTCCAACGCTTTTAAGAATGTTTACATCGTTTTGGAGTTATCGACTTCGCTTAAAGTTAGATGTAAATTAGTCGGTTCCGTTTCGCTTAGAATTTTCACTGCTAAATCAAGCAAGTCGTGTCTCCAGTCAAAAGGGTTGATACGTAGTATCACTTTTAGAAGAGCTTTTCGCTCGTCGTCCAGAAATAAATTCTAGATACTGCTCCTTACGTCAAGATTCATTTACCACATTTTCCTCGAACCGTCCTATGTTTCGAGTACTGTTGCTTTTATTCCGTGCTGTTGCTAAGGCAAACTTCGAATAGCAACCGCTTATCGTTTGTCAACTTCAGGCCCCGCGAGAGGACAAGACATCAATTAGCGGAAACTCGCTGATGTCGAGTGTTTACAAGAAGTTGAATGTCGCGCGACGGTTGGCGTTCAATCTATCAAAATAAAATTTCGAGTTTGCTGGACGAATTCAAACGAAATTTTATATGCAGCGAAACCGTTTCAATTGTGAATTTTATTGAAAGGACAGATTAACCCTTTGCGGGCAACCATTAGGGACCACATCGCACGCTGAACGCTGATAGGCGTTCATCGCACGTGGTCACCTGAATGACTAGACGCATGTACTCGTCGATTGTGGGCAAAAGAATAATTATGTAATATCTAAGAATTTTTAATACGTTTATAGTATCGTACATTTTTATTTCTCTTATTGTTGTTGAATATTACAATATTAAATAATGATGTAGCTTAGAATTTACCTCGTTGTTTGTTTATTTTTTGATATTTTGAGGATCTTTGGGTCTAGAAATGCAAATAAAGTAATTGCAAAATTCTGTATGTATGGATGTGTGTAAGTCTTCTGTTTGTTTTATATCTTAAGAATGTTTGATCAGAAACTGATGAAAGTTGTTATGGTGATTCTTATGTATAGTGCATTGTAACATTTAATTATTGAACAAATTTGATACAAGCTTGTATGTATATAAATTAATGGATGATTAAATGTATCAAGTAACAAATTTCCAAATTTCATTATTACATCTGAAGATGACCAAAAGTATGTTTCTATCGTCAGTGAGCACTATACGATCAATGAATATGATATTGTGTGTAACATCTACATGTTATATTCTTGCATGACAATTGAAGAAATTCAATTGTAACATTGATATATTCCGAAGAGTATACAAAAGAAAATGGAAGTTTTAAATAAATAACAGTATGTTCTGTAGAGTATGGTTATCATCTTTTAATTTAATTTCTAATTCGTTTACTAATAATCCATGAAGCGTGTCTCTAACATTGATTGAAAATTGTCTGTTTGAGTAATTTTTATGAGTATTGAAAAATTTTGCTCGATGTTTTCGAAGGCCAAGCAATCAGAATTTGCTCTACTTCCTCAGATGCTAATTTGACAGCAATTATACCGTCGTTATCGCCGTCGAAAGGCACACAATCGCTTCCGTGGTCGTTCGGTAGGTGTTTAGAGGTCGTTGATTTGGTAAATACACCCGATACACAGGTATAAATTATGTAAATGCGTCTTCTGTCCAGAGATGCATTTAATATATTCGCGTCATTCGTAATCGTGGTAGCCGACGATAAATCACAGCTGAATTCTCCCTCTCGGTATGAATACAAGGGGTACAAGAAGTGAGAAACAAACTTAAATTATTAGCCACTCGTCTTGGGAATTACTCTTGTAAATTATCCCGCTGATAATGCTGCAAACCAGTGTTTAATCATATGAAAACTTCCGCCAGAGATGCACGTATGGTTCGAGCATAGTAGTTAGGGGAATTTAATTCAGCTTCTGAAACTATTTTAAAGTTATTTCGTCAGATAGTATTTGTTTAGACTTTTCAGAACGTATAATATGGTGATAAAAATTAAAAAAAAAAATTATTTAAGTGCAGTGAAAATAAAAGAACTTTATCTATCACTCAAGATGAAAATAGAACTTTATAATTTGATCTTTAATTTGTGTCTTCTTTAAATATTATGTTAAAAATAGACAAATGCTTCAAACGAAAGCTACAGATTTTGTTTCAATTCTATATTTTATGTTGATACAATTATGTTCACCTTCGATTAATAATTATTAATATTTAAGGATTGATGGCTTACTTTACATTAATCACAATTTAGAGCAAAGAATATTGCTTTATTTAGAATTAATTCAGAAATTAATTCGGTTAAATAAATTCTAATTTAGAATTGTTAGCAATCTTGCGAGAATAGTTTAAGGAAAAGTTTACTTTCTGGCTGGCAGGTTCAGGTATTTTTATAATTAAAGTTTATGCAAAAATTGTATTTATAGTAAACTTTTTCTAATGAAATTTTATATGTTGCTCATCTACATTTTTATTTTATTAATCTACATACAGGATCGCCTGTTATTAGTCGTAAATTCAAAAAGGGGTTGATTCGTTCTATATTATAGGAATATGCCGATTGAAAGAAACGAAAGAAAAAGAAGGGGTCGTTTTATTGTTTTAAGATATATGAAATATGCTTGTGTACAAAAGGGTCTTGGGGAAAAACAGTTCAGAGGTGGTAAAAGTGCCGCGCTATTGAAAGATGTGTACATTTGGTCACGTGGTTCGGTAAATATTTCTAAACGTACCACCGTCGAACCATTGTGATCGCATTATATCCCGAAACGTGATGCTACCTGCGCTAAAACAGGTAAGAATTTCTTACCTGAAATCTATTTTGCGAGGAAACATTTATGTTCCGATAAACAGTCGCTAGATTTTCCCAAACAAATATCTCTTTCTGTCCAGAATTATCAATGTATACATAAGTACAGCAATAGTTGTATTTCTATTAATAGAATAGAGTTAGAATTAGATGCTACTAATTCTGTATTTCAAGAAAATAACGCAAGTACTAGCAACATATTGAAATTCAAAAACAATATTGACATATAAAGACATAATTGATATCTATATTTATAAATGACATGTAAATCGTATGTATACCAGAAGATTTTTGTAAAAATGTGAAGACCTCATACCATTTTAATTCTTAATATACTTAATTGCGTCTAATTATATTCTTTTCGTGCCTCTTCTTTTTTATTACCCTGAGTGCTTTTAAATTCTGTAACTTTAGAAGCAGTTCTAGGGTCTCAACTTACACCACGCATTTCTAGATTATTTATAGCTTAGTTTGTTTCCTGTAATCCGAAGTTCTGTTGGATTTTATTACAAGTGTTTCACAAGTATCTAAATTATTCTACGTTAAAGATAAGGAAATACAAATATTAGTATTAAGACACATCACCTAACGAATTAGCATTTGTAGATAGTTATTTATATCACAATAATAATACCATGAAATAACGTGACACAGAAGTAAATTTAAAATTAAATCATTCTTTTTGGTAACGCTATTCTAACAAATTTTTCAATTTATTTACGTAGAATTAGTTAGATAAAATAATCGATGGCTTTCGTTATGAGATCGATAATGCAATTTTTATTTTCCTTACGTGTATTTCTATCTATAATTATCAGACATATTTCAACATACCATTATTTTTATTCCATAAGTAACAACAATTCATCTCATTCGAATCTGATAAAATTTGCGTTCGCATGGATGTTTGAAATGACCCCCAAAAGTTATCCTAAGGTTAATAAAAACATTTTTAATTCTCCACATATTGTTACAAATTT